TCCTTGCCCCGTTTTTCCTTTCTTCAGAGTACTAGCTCTCCAGTAACCACCTACCACCTGCAGCGGGCACTGCCTGGGGGCATCATCCTCATGGAACTGGCATTCCAGGTAAGCAGGAGGAGCACTGAGTGGAGAGAGCCAGACCCACCTGTCTCTTGCCTTCCTGATCTCATCTTCACCTTCCCTCCAGGGCTGTTACTTCTGTGTCAAACAGTTTGCCCTGGAATGTTCCCGAATCCCAATGGGGCAGGCTGTCAACTCACAGGTATGTGGATGAGGTGTAGGCACAGTCAGTGCACCCCAGTGTCCTGTGGGCAGCATGGCTCCATGTCTCATTTGCTGGGCAGTAGAGTAATGCAGTGGGCAGGCTGGCTTAGTGACTGATGCAGTGCTGTGGCCTGGCTAGGTCAGTGCTCATTCTGGTGAGCTGCACTCACTACCAGGCTGACCCTGTCGGTCATCCAAAGTGTGTTCAGCTGTAGCCCTGAGGCAGCACAGTGCCTGGTCTGGCCTGTAGTCATCTAGGGTCTGTGGCAGACCCTAGTGGAATCTGGGATACAGCAGAATGGCCCAGTGTCTCAAAATGGCCCTAGTTTCATGGAAGTAGTTACAATACAGTATGAAAAAGGGAGGCTAGAATGAGGAGGCCTTCCCACAGAAACCATTCTGGCAGAGGGCATTCCACTGGGCCACAGCAGCAGGGGAAAAATTGCACTTCTTTCCACAGAAGGAGGGAAACATGTATTGGGCAGCCAGTGCAGCCACACCCTAACCCTGTCTCCTGCTGCTGCCTCCCCAGCTGTCCATGCTGTTCACAGAGGAGTGTGACAAGGTGCGAGACCTGATGCATGTGCATTCGTTCAGCTATGACTTCCATCTGCGCCTCGTGCACCAGCACGTACTAGGTGCCCACCTGGTGCTGCGGCACGGCTACCACCTCACCACCTTCCTGCGACACTTCCTGGCCCACCACCCCGACGGACCCCACTTCGGCCGCAATCACATTTACCAAGGTCAGTGCCCAAGGGCAAGCCAGTGAACCCAAAAAAGAACAGGCCACAGGTGCCTCCAGGTCAGGGCTGGTGGGACTACCTCCCTGGACAAGTGGTCCCATGTTGTTAATTACCTCATGTCACACATATCATGTCCCCATGTTTCTGTCCTGTGTCTTTCTTACCAGAGTTTGGACCCCATGTCACATGTTCCCTGCCCTCTGAGTTACTTTTGTCCCATCTCAGTGTTCCACAGGAATGCAGGAGCTCCTAAGGAAAGCAGACCCACTCTGCCTGCCAGTCAGAGCTTTAAAGACGCCCATCCCTGTGCCCCACCAGATCAGTGTGTCTGTCCTAGGCTTAGTGTCTGCTGTCTCCTGTTACTTACCCCTCAGGGACATTGGAGCTCCCCACACCACTCATCGCTGCCCACCAGCTGTACAACTACGTGGCTGACCATGCCAGCTCTTACCACATGAAGCCATTGCGAATGGCCCGGCCAGGGGGCCCAGAACACAATGAGTATGCCCTGGTGTCGGCATGGCACAGGTAAGGCTGGGAGGGGCATCCAGCATGCATGCTGCAGGAGCTGGGGCTGGGACATACTTGCAGTAGGGAGACCCGTGTTTTCTTGGGCAGGGTGAGGTTTGTTTCATTAGAACCCCAGAGTTGACATCTCCCCAACCTGTCCTGCACAGCTCTGGCTCCTACCTGGATTCTGAGGGACTTCGCCACCAGGATGACTTTGATGTGTCTCTGCTTGTCTGTCACTGTGCTGCACCCTTTGAGGAGCAAGGAGAGGCTGAGCGGCACGTTCTGCGGTCAGCAGACCCCCTACCCTGAACACGCCCATTTCCCAGCCTGCCCGACCCTGCCCTGTGTGTCTCTTGCTATGACCGCCACTCTCCTGCCCTGCTCCCCACTCCAGGCTACAGTTCTTCGTGGTGCTCACCAGCCAGCGAGAGCTCTTCCCCAGGCTCACTGCTGACATGCGCCGCTTCCGGAAGCCACCCAGACTGCCCCCTGAGCCAGAGGCTCCTGGGAGTTCAGCTGGCAGCCCTGGGGAGGCCTCAGGGCTTGTTCTAGCGCCAGGACCGGCTCCTCTGTTCCCACCACTGGCTGCAGAGGTGGGCATGGCACGGGCACGACTGGCTCAGCTGGTACGGCTGGCTGGAGGGCACTGCCGTCGGGACACCCTTTGGAAGCGCCTCTTCTTGCTGGAGCCACCAGGGCCTGATAGACTGCGGCTAGGGGGGCGCCTGGCCCTGGCAGAGCTGGAGGAGCTCCTAGAAGCAGTCCATACCAAATCCATTGGGGACATCGACCCCCAACTGGTAAGGGACTGTGGGCTCCCGAAAGAGCTGGGGTAGATGCCAGGAATTCCACTGGCAGCCAGGGCAGAGAGCACAGGAATCTGAGGTGACTGGCACAGAAGACTCAGGCCTGTGGCTCCTCCCCCAGGACTGCTTCCTATCCATGACAGTCTCCTGGTACCAGAGCCTGATCAAAGTTCTCCTAAGCCGCTTCCCCCAGAGTTGTCGCCATTTCCAAAGCCCAGACTTGGGAACTCAGTACCTGGTAAGTCCCCTTGAGCTTCCTCTGAAAAGGACAACATAGCAGAAATCCTCACCAGACAGATGTGCCCCTCAGCCTGACCAAGCAAGCTCTGCTCTGGAGGGAGGCCTAGACAGAATGGGACTCCACAGATACATGTAAAACCCTTCCAGTACCGGGCATCGAGCTACAGTATGTGATTCTCTGAGCAGCTCTGCCCTCAAAGACTCACCAAGAACACAAGCTTTGGCTTGAGATCCTGAGGGCCAGGCTCTGGAACTGACAACCCAAGGAGCTCTCAGAACTTTGTCAGTAGGCTGGAGCCCCAGAAAGGACCCCTTGGGCTTTGAAGCCTTGTTACTCAAAGTGTGGTCCACAGACCAGCAGCCGCAGCACCTGGGAGCTTGCTGAAACGCAGGCTCTCCGGCCACATCTGAGACTGCTGACTCGGGATCTGCAGGTTGTCAGTCTCCCCAGGTGATTTGTGTGCACACTGAAGTTTGAAAGCGCTGCTGTAAAGGACAGGTAGAGCTGCGGTGGTGGAGCATGGGGCATTAAGGAGCCCACAGAGATGGGCCCGGCCAGAGCTGAGGTTCAAGAGAGGAGGCGTTATGAGAGATTTCAAGTAAGAAAGTAGGAGGTGGAGCCAGGTGAGGGGTCCTGCAGCACAGTGCTTGTGCAGAGGATTCATTTCAGGGTGCAGGAAGGGTCTCCCAGAGAAGCCGAGGTCAGTTAGGATGAGGCTGCAGTAGTGTCAGCGGTTGTGAATAGAGGGGGGTGCCCCTGTCGGTGGTGGGAAGGCTGGAGCAGGAGTGGGTTTTGAGGAAGGGTGACAAGTCCAACCTGGGGGAAGTTGAGTCTGGGCTCCATAAGGCCCTTCACCGTCTGCAAGGTTTGTGGGTACCAGGGATTCAAGCTCAGGAGAGTCGTAGGCAGCAGCTCTGTGAACAGGTGGTAACTGAAGCCTTGGGAGAGCAAATCATCCCAGGATGGATCACTAAGCAGAGTGTTAGGGAGCAGACAGACATAAGGGGACAGGACAATCCCAGGGGTGGTCAGAGAGGAGTGCCAGGACAGGAGGCAAGGAGGTTGTGCCAGGGGTACAGCACTCTCCATTGATTGGCTTCAGCGTACCAGGCTCTGTGTGGGGCCTCCAGGATCTACTGTTACCCCTCATTCTGACGCAGCTCAGATGGGCTGACGGGCAAGCCAGCAAGGATGAGGACTGAGGCTCAATTTGGAGACATGGTTCTATGTGACCTCGGGGTACAGGCGGGGTGAGGTGTGGAGATGGAAGTAGGCCTCTCCTCATCCTCCCTTCACCTCAGGATGCCCTGTGGAAGGGTCTGTGTCACTTCGGGGGAGAGAGACCTCAGTCCCCTTCTCATCTTTTCACTGCAGGTTGTGCTGAATCAGAAGTTCACTGACTGCTTTGTGCTGGTGTTTCTGGACTCCCACTTAGGAAAGACGGTGAGAACAAGTCGGGGGCTTTGTGTCAGCCTTGTGGAAGGCCATACCCCAAATGTATGGAGCCTGCTGGGTTGGGGTGCCCACCCTTTCTGAGCCCTGCCTCCTGTCCCCACCCATGCCCTCCTCTCACCAGCGCACCCCCACCATGTTCCCCACAGTCTCTGACAGTGGTTTTCCGAGAGCCCTTCCCAGTACAGCCGCAGGACAGCGAAAGCCCCCCCGCCCAACTAGTCTCCACCTACCACCACCTGGAGTCTGTCATCAACACAGCCTGTTTCACCCTCTGGACCCGCCTCCTCTGAGAGAGTGGACTGGACCACTGCATGTCACTGTTCCTCGAATCGTGGGTCTACAAGATTGCCCGCCAGAGGCAGGACTGACCAGCCCTTCTGGGCCCCAGGGCAAGTCAGACACTGAGTGACACTAAAGGCTTTGTAACTACGTCTTGGGGGTCTGCTGCCCCAGCCTGGCGGCAGGAACTGCCCTCCTCAAACACCCACAGCCAGTGACCCATCCAGGACTTCAGAGGGTCAGGTCAACCCAAGGACCCCTTGGGCCCTTCTGGGGTACTCCTTTCTGCCCACCTGGTAGAGTCTTGGGAGTTCACACGGGGTGGCAAAAACTTACCCCCTAGAGCTCCTCTACCTGATCCTGCCCCCCAGCCTTTGACCATGGTCAGCCACCTGTGTCCCTTGAGCCCTCGGGTCTTCACCTCCCACTTGGACATCACTGCTGGACATTCCCATTGAGATGACAACTGGGTTCCAATCCCAGCTTTGCCTTTGAAGCACCTGTGGCCACTGTCAAGTCCCTTTGCTCTCAGACCCTGGGTTTCTCATCCTTTAATGAGAAGGTGGGCTCAGAAGCTCTCCCACCTCCACAGCAACCCTGGCACTGGCTTCTCAATGGGAGGGAAGCAACAGAGAAACTGAAGTGTTAGACACTATGTGTCCCCCCACCCCATAACAGAGACATAAGACAATGTTCAGCGGGTCATCTTTAATGCAGAGGAGGAGATGGGATCTCACTCGCTGTCTGGAGGCATGTGGGTGGTGTGCAGGCCCTCACTGGCCACCTCGGGGTGGCCCCGCCTATCCCAGTATGAACGTAGCCAACTCAAGCCCTCTACTGTGTCTCCTGTAGGGAGAGGGAGGCCTGGGCATCTCAGCCCACAAGGAGAAAACATCCCCTGTCCAGTCCCTCCAGAGCTCCCTTCCCCAGGGCCACCCCTCACCTCGAGGCTGATACTCGCAGCCCACAAAGCCTTTGTAGCCTTCATCTTCCAGCAGTTGAAACAGATAGGGGAAATTCAGCTCTCCGGGGCTGCTGGGCTCCCCTCGGCCTGGGACCTGTGCCACCTGCACATGCCCTGGGGACAGATGTGGACAAATGTGGGGTCCAGGCTCCTGCCAGGGCCTGAAGAACAGATGTGGGGATTGAAAGGGTGGGAGGGCACAGGAAGCTCCTCTCACCAACAATGGGCAGGAACTCCTGGATGTTTCCTGTCAGGTTCCCATCCATGATCTGCCAGTGGAATATGTCCTGGGGAAGAGGATACTACAGTCCAAGACCCCGCAGGCCCCACCCTCCTTCCGGTCTTCAAAGTACCCCCTTTCTTCCACTTACCATTTGTAATTGGAGGTTGGGTCTTCCCACCTTCTGTAAGATGGCTGCCGCTGTAAGAGAAGCCAGGGAGGGGGCCGTGAGCCTCGAGAAGAGCACAGGAATCAAAAGGGACAGAAGGAGACAGGGCTGGGGTCATACCCTGCTGGGGCGTGTCCAGGAAGTACTGGGGGTCAGTGATGCGGGTATTGATGGGCTCCAGCAGTCCCACGAGGTCCGCCTAGCAGCATGTCGGGTGCTGTGAATAGAGCTCCTTCCCAAGTTCGTCCCCCATCAGTCAGTCACTGGTCAAGGCCCTCACCTGTCCCTCTGACCTAGGCTGGCAGCCTCACGTGCTGTCCCCACTGTGCACCCCCTCCTCCGCACACCCACAAAGACATGTAAGTACATGTGTGTTTCCACCTTTCTCACCTCAGCCAAAACCCCAGCTGCATGCCTCAGGTTCTCCAGAAAAACGATCTCCATCTCAGCTTTGACTGCTATTCGATCAGCTCCCTGGGGTACTCGGCCAGCCATCAGGTGGATCCTGTGAGGAAGATGGATTGGAGGCCTTGCCTCCCTTGGCTCTCTGCACCTCTTCCAGGATTCCCTGACACTGCTGGCCCTTGCCTGTCTCCCCAGGTCTCCAGTCCATGGCACCTGAGCCACGATGCCCAGGCATCCCAGCGCTTTTCAGAGACACTTCAGTAACGGCCGAGGGGAAGCCCTTTCCCAGACACCTCAGCGTCCACCCACCGCCCCCTGCCTCCAGTACTTTCTACCTTTCCTTCCCTCGGTCCTTCTCCTCAACCTATAACCTGCTAAATTCTCACCTTTAAAAATTATCCTGACCCTTGCTTGCCCTTCTCAGGTATTCCGTGCTGCTGTCTCTACTTCCTCTCCTTGCATCTACTACTTAGACTCTTCCCATCTTTTTTCTGCCCCCACCATTGACCAATAGTGATCCCCTCTTGCTAGTACCTTCTGAGCCTGTTTGGCCTCTGCAGGATTTGACATTTGATCAGCCCCATTTGAGCCGTCCACCTCCTCCCATCATCCCCTGATCTTATCAGCCACATCCAGCTCTGAACAGACATTCCAGACCTCCCCACCCCAACAGGCTACATATATGTACAGCCTTAGGAACACTGCTGAACACACCAGGCTGCCTCTTGCCACAGCACCCTTGCCGGGAATACTTTACCTTCTGCCCATCAAGCAATGCCCACTCCTTGAAGACAGTCCAAGCATCACTACCTGTAAGCAGCTTTCTCTGATCCAGACAGGGTTAGGTGCCTACCCCTGCTCCCACAGCTTCCTGGAATAGGGCTGTCCTCAAATGGATCACTGCATATATTTACTCTCCTATCTTCCTAGGCAGACTGAGCTCCCAGCATGGGATGCCAGCATGGGGTGAGCATAAAAGAGTGGCAAACAGACTGGCACAGGACAGATAAAATACAAAAGGCAATTTACAAAGGACCAGGACCGCAGAGGCGGAGATAGGCCAGTGGCCTCAGACTCCTGAGCGTCTCAGACCTCAGGTCCTCGACTACCTGAACCTGAGGCAGGGTCATGGGTCACAGAGGGGTGGGGCTTGGGGTGGAGGCGGGGTACCTGGGACAGCCCAGGGCCTTGGCGTATCGCACGGCCTGCTCCAGCCCCTCTCGGAAGGCCGCCTGTCTCCCGGGGACGGCCCCCAGCCCCATTTCCCCCTTCTCTTGGTCTCCTGCAGAGAGAACGGGCCTCAGCCCCCGACTCGGGCACTCCCCTGCCCGCGCCCCGTCCCCCACCAGTCTCCCGGCCCGCGGCGCACCCGGGGGCGTGTTGATCAGCACAAGCCGCAGCCCCGCTTCTCGCGCGGCGCGCGCCAGCGCCTCAGGCGGCTCCGCGTACGGCCAGGCCACCTCGACGGCCTCGAAACCCGAGCTGCCCGCGGCCCGCAGCCGCGCGGGGAGGCCGGGGAGCTCGGGGAACAGCCAGGACAGATTGGCGGAGAAGCGCAGCGGCGCCATGCCTGGGGAGGCCGGGCCGGGCAGAGTCCGAAGGCTCCAAAGGCGGCGGGCGGGGCGGGGCTCTCCTTGCTGGCCCTGCGAACAAACGTGCACTCTTCCGGGTTAGAAAAGCGAAGTGCTGTAAAAATCCGGGCCTTCGCGAAAAGCGCCTTCCGTGAGCGAGAAAGGGAGCGCGGGGAGAGGCGAAGGGGCGGGGCGAGGGCGGCCGGAAAAGGAGCGGGGCCCGCGCCGGGAGAAGCTGGGGAGGCCGGGCTCCCGGACCTGAAAGCCGGACGCGGGGCCAGAGAGAGCTGGCTGCCCGAGGGCCAGGTTGCAATGATGGGACGTGCACTTTAATACTGAGTCTTTCCTCTGTTTATAAAAATGCTATCTGTTCGTTAAGCAACATTTGAAAGCTGTATAACCAAATAAAGAAGCACTTTTATACCACCAGTTATCACACCACTAGCCTGTTAGCTTTCCCGTCCAAATTTTAAAATATGCAGTTTTTTTCTTTGGAAATTGTGATCTTTCGGTATATGCGGTTTTATAGCCCTTTTTCATGGAATATTATTTTGTGAGCATTTCCTCGTGTTTTCCAATAGCCTTCAAAATCTGTGCCTTCGCTGCTCATTGTTGCACACCTAAGCAGCAAGTCATTTATTGTACTTTGTGGTTGGATATTGTGTGTGTGCGCGCGCGCTGCAAGCGCACTTTCATGCTCTTCTTAGTCCCTATCTCTGACTCTTTTTCAAGTCTTTTTCTAGAGATGTCCATCACAGTGTTGGCCCGTTCACGCCGTTTGTCTTTTGCAAGGGAAACGGCACCATTGAGCAGCTATGGGTGAGCTGTCCTCTCTTAGCCTTAGCCTCAGCTGATTGGACCAGGGAGGTCATCTGATCCCAGGACAGCCAATCCATAGACTGGTCAAAGACCTCTTACTTGCGTGGTTTGGAAAGATAAGATAACCAATCAAGAGTTCAAACAAAGAAATGCTGAGAGTCAACAGGTGGTGTTGCCAGAAGGTGACTGGGCTGTAGAAACGACATAAGACAGAGTCCTATGGTAAAGAAAAGCTAGAGCGGAAAGGAGGGGAACCAAGTCCTGTGAATAGAGGTAGCACACTGGGAAGCCCATGTCGTCCCAGGGGTGCCCAAACCCATAGCTGCCCCCAGGTCTGTGCACTTAAGGCTGGGATGCTTAGACTTTCCTGGGTTTCTTTGTCTGTATAGCATCTTAATGTTTCTTGAGATAATTTGAATGATTTTACTTTCATCTACAATAACCCACCTGATTGGGCAGGTTCTTAGGGGTAGAATTACATGGTCAAAAATAGGAACATATCTAAGTTATTGATGTCTTAAATTTCCTTTGAAAAATATAAATCTATATCCCAACAGTTCATGAGTAAACGTCATCTTGATCTATCGTCTGTGCTAACTTTGACAGAAAAGCTGAAAGTGCAACATTAGGAACACCCAGCTTCCACTGATTGTTCTGTCAACACTCAACTCCATCTCAAATGAGGCTAACTCAGACACCAGGGATCCAGCCTGATCCCGTGGTGAACCCAAATGCTTAGAAGGTTCCATTTCTTCAGCTCTGCCTCCAAGAACAGACTGCTGCCAACTGACACTGATCACCTGGTTTCTTGCTCATTTGCAACTGGTTTTATACTAGGACCTTTGCCTTGTCTTGGAATGTGTTTCTTGGGTATCGTCCTGTCAAGATCTCACTAAGCTTAACATTGGAATCAATCCCAACTTTAGTGTGTGTGCAATCCAAAATCAACAATACAGAGTAACATCCAGAGGAAGTAATTCCTTTATTACCACCTCACTGTTGATCTCTGAGTATGCAAATTCCATTTATGATGTTGAAAGCACCACCATCTGCTGAGCTCTGCGTCAGAAACAAAATGTGTCCAACTCCCAATGGTCCACCCCTTTTTTCCTTGGACATCCCTTAGGGCAGTAAAGATTATGTATAAACTAGATATACATGACTCACTTTCCCCTTAATTCCCTTACAACACCTTCACATAATATGCCCAAATAAATATATAAGGAGTGCAATGTCCATGAAAATTATTTGCTTTATTCACCTTTGGCTATGTCTTATCCCACCTTGCAACACAGGCATGAGACTAAGTTATCACAAGTTTGGATTCTTTGCATTTGCCTTTTTTTCCGGCTTTATTGTACTTCACAGATATGTATTTAGCTTTTAACCAAATAATTTGCACAGGTGTGGTATTAAAGTAACAACAATTTGTAAATAGTTGCATGGATAATGGCAAAAACTTTAGTACAGAGTTCAGAGTCTCATTTGATCACTGGATAGCATTTGGCAATGCAGTAAAACATATTACAACTCATGTGAAATGCAAATCAAAACCTCAATGAAATTCTATTTTATGCCTTTCAGATTGGCAAAAATAAAAAAGACATTATCAAATATTGGATAGGATTTGGAACAACTGCTGATAGGAGTGTAAATCACTATAACCTCCTTGGAAAACAATTTGGCCTTGTCTCTTAAGGCTGATATGCCTTTGATCCAACAGTTCCTTTCCCAGATGTATCCCCTGAAGAAAGTTTTGCACAAGTGTACCAGGCAAAAAGTAAAGTGATGTTCACAGCGGAACTACTTATGTAGCAAAAAGATGGAACTAACTCAAATGTCCATACATACATACATAGGTGAGTTGTGTAATAGTACAGTCATACCATGTTGTACAAGAGAAAGCTGGTGGCTCAAATGATAAAACTGAGTTTGTTCTTGTTAACACAAGATTATGTATAAACTAGACATACATGACTCACTTACCCCTTAATTCCCTTACAACACCTTCACATAATATGCCCAAATAAATATATAAGGAGTGCAATGTCCATGAAAATTATTTGCTTTATTCACCTTCGGCTATGTCTTATCCCACCTTGCAACACAGGACAATATATGAAGAGCTTAGTGAAGTTTAATTGGAACTGAAAAACATCATTATGAAAGCATCAAGTGGATACATCTCAGAAACATAATCTATAGAGGAAGAAGCAAATCACGGAGAAATACATACAGTGTGATTCCATTGATAAAAAGTCAAAGGCAGGGAAAACCAACAGTATCTTGTGTAGGAATATGGATATCCCTGGTAAAACAATGAAAAACAAGTGAATAATTATCACAAAATTCAGCATAATGGTGACGACCTCTAGAGAAGGACGGAAGAGGGTAGCATTGGAGCCTTTGAAAGCATTAGTTATCCTTTCTCCTACCTTGGATAGCACATTCATGTATGTTAACTTTACTACTCTTCTTTAGAGTTAACATATATTTTATAAATATCATTTTATATCTGTTTTATATTTAATAAAAACACATTTTTAAAACCTGTATGCATTTACTGCCGTCTGTTAACACATTTGATATTAACATCCTCATTGTGGTATCATTATAATCTCAAGATTTTTCTACAGGTTCAGCTTGTTCTTATTGTTTGTCTGGTTTGAATTATAATGATCACTTCTTAGACTCAACTTGCCACTGCTCAGTATAGTGATCTTTTATTGTATTATCTGCCCAGAACCTATGGCAGGCAGCCTGCAAAATGGTCCCCAATGGGTCAGAGCGGGTGGTTCACACCTGTAATCCCAGCCCTTTGGGAGGCTGAGGCAGGAGAATAACTTGAGCCCAGGAGTTTGAGACCAGCCTTAGCAACCTAGTGAAACCCCATCTCGACAAAAATATAAAAATTGGCCAAGCATGGTGGCATGTGTGTGTAGTCCCAGCTACTCCAGAGGCCGAGGTGAGAAGATCGCTTGAGTCTGGGGGGTCCAGGCTGCAGTGAGCCATAATTGCACCACTGCAGTCCAGCCTGGGTGACAGAGCAAAATCCTGTCACAAAAAATAATAAAATAAAATAAAATAAAATAAAATAAAATCGATAGACCATTAGCAAGATTAACCAAGAAGAGTGAAAATCCAAATAACCTCACTAAGAAACAAAACAGGAAATATTACCACTGACACTGCAGAAATACAAAAGATCATTCAAGGCAACTATGAACATCTTTATGCACATAAACTAGAAAACCTAGAAGTGGATAAATTCCTGGAAAAACACAACCCTCCTTGCTTAAATCAGGAAGAATTAGATACTCTGAACAGAGCAATCAGCAAGATTGAAATGGTAATTTTAAAATTACCAACAAAATTAAGTCCAGGACCAGACGGATTCACAGCAGAATTCTACCAGACATTCCAAGAATTGGTGCCAATCCTTTTGACACTATTCCACAAGACAGAGAAGGAAGGAACACTCCCTAATTCATTCTATGAAGGCAGCATCACCCTAATACCAAAACCAGGAAAGGACACAACTAAAAAAGAAAACTACAGATGAATATCCTTGATGAACATGGATGCTAAAATCCTTAACAAAATACTAGCTAACCGAATCCAACAACATATCAAAAAGATAATCCACCACGATCAAGTGGGTTTCATTCTAGGGATGCAGGGATGGTTTAACATATGTAAGTCAATAAATGTGATACACCACATAAACAAGAATTAAAAACAAAAATCACATGATCATCTCAATAGATGCAGAAAAAGCATTCGACAAAATCCAGCATCCCTTTATGATTAAAACCCTCAGCAAAATTGGCATATGAGGGACATACTTTAATGTAATAAAAGCCATCTATGACAAACCCACAGCCAACATAATAGTGAATGGGGAAAAGTTGAAAGCATTCCCTCTGAGAATGGAAACAAGACAAGGCTGCCCACTCTCACCACTCCTCTTCAGCATGGTCCTGGAAGTCCTAGCCAGAACAACCAGACAAGAGAAAGAAATAAAGGGCATCCACATTGGTAAAGAGGGAGTCATACTGTCCCTGTTTGCTAACAATATAATTGTTTACCTTGAAAACCCTAAGGACTCCTCCAGAAAGCTCCTAGAACTGATTAAAGAATTCAGCAAAGTTTCCGGATACAAGATTAATGTACACAAATCAGTGGCTTTTCTATACACCAACAGTGACCAAGCAGAGAATCAAATCAAGATTTCAACCCCTTTTTACAACAGCTGGAAAAAAAAAAAAAAAAAAAAACACTTAGGAATATACCTAACAAAGGAGTTCAAAGACGTCTACAAGGAAAACTACAAAACACTGCTGAAAGAAATTATAGATAACACAAACAAATGGAAACACATTTCATGTTCATGGATAGGTAGAATCAATATTGTGAAAATGATCATACAGGCCGGGCGCGGTGGCTCAAGCCTGTAATCCCAGCACTTTGGGAGGCCGAGACGGGCGGATCACGAGGTCAGGAGATCGAGACCATCCTGGCGAACGTGAAACCCGTCTCTACTAAAAAAACAAAAAACTAGCGGGCGAGTGGCGGGCCTGTAGTCCAGCTACACAGGAGGCTGA